AAAAAAAAAAAAAAAAAAAGGGGAGAGGATTCAGCTGGCTGTAGCAGAAACTGTGAAAAAGAGGTTTTCTATGCAAGTGAGCCAGATCCTTAGATGATGCAAATCAGATGCATTAACTTCACTGATTTATATCAGCTGGATTCACATGGATTTGCTTTCATTCTAAGTAATCATCTAGTTGGAAGATTCTTTATTGTCTGCCTACCCATAGTGCAGTATTAATTCTGAGAACAGAGAGGTTTTAGGAGAGTGAGAGTCAAGCCTGATGATGATTGAATACATACTTTTGTGTTGAGATGGCACTAAGGGCAGTATCCCAGACAGATTGTCTTGGCTCTTATTTTTAGGTGAAATATTTTTAGTATTATTACTATCATAAGGTAGAAAACATATTTCAGGGGAAGGTGGCAAGAGGTTGGGGGGGGATGGGAAATGAAATATTAAGTTTGTGCCATTCATCAGTTTTTTGGCCTTTTTTGTAGCACAAAGTTTTGTCAGGAGAAATTGCCTTTTCTACCACTGGTTTACATGCATTCATGTACACATTTGGCAAAACACATCCTGTGACTCAAATAAGTCTCTCTAATTGACACAAACTTTTAGCTGACATACATCTGTCAGTTCCATGCCGGGGTGGATGTGTTCCAGTAACACAGCACGGTTTGCAGTTATAAGCCTTGGGCTCCTACTCATGGTGGACCAGGCTTTCTGCCAACTTAAACTCTCTCTGTGAGGATAGGCAACACTGACAACAGCAGCCAAGTGTATGTATGTATGTGTGCATGTGCGTTCCAATGATGTAACAATATTGGCTGCTCTAAGCCAACAACAGATTTGGCAGTGAAATTTTCAAGTGTGATCAGGCCTTTGGGTACTTTTTGAATCTATACATTCCCACCACTGCCTTTCCCCCTTTCCTTATATTGTCGTTGTTTTTCCCTACTGTGCGTTTCCCCTTTCCTCCACCTGCTTCTACCTAATTTATCTTTTCCTTAGAAAAGATTTCCCTAGTGCCACCTCCCATTGCCATTACAACTTCTTGGTCTGCTTGATAGGCGGGCTGGCCCCAAAGGATAAGGATCTTTAGATTTGCAGCCAGGGTTCCCCCTATTCTGAGGCTGATTGGTATGATGTCAGTGGCTGGGAAAAGACTTGGGAGGTGCTAATGCTGCAATCAGTCAGGTGGTATCAAGCCTGAATAGTGGACGGAGATGGCAATCAGTGGATTCCTTCTGGAGAAAGGAAGGACTAAGGAAGGTGGCTAAAAAGGGGAAGGATTGAGCAGGTATTTTTGATAGATGTGTTCCTTGAAACAGTACTTGGTCATATTTTACCCTCTTGTTGCTTCAGGTGTGAACTTTCAGTAACCCGTGTGGTATGATCTGTTTAGGCCTGTGCACATCGTTGGAAAAACATCTACTATGAGACAGAATACATTCTCCCCCATGGTTTCTGTAATATCATCCCACCCACCTTACAGTCCAATGGCCGAAACTTATGGCCCTGCTATGAAGGTAAGCTGTAGTTTCTTTCTTTTCTTTCGCTTGTATGCTGTTTGTCATTATGAGTGATTAAGATTACCCCTTGTCCCCAGAATTATGTATGGCAACCTTCATATATACGTGTGCATGTGTATGTATGAAATGTTGGGCCAAGTAATGTTGACCCAGCCACAGCCTAGTGGAAGAATTGCATTGGATGAAAAGGAATGGGCAGTGAGATGATAATTGGATCCCGTGAATTATTCTGTATGGCCATGTTGAACTCAAAAAAAAATCAAAATTTCTTGAAACAGTGTATTGAGAAAACCTTCCTTTCTTTTATATGAATGTTACAAGGCAGCTGGCATGAGCACACTCAGCTGTAGCATTGGATAGACATTCAGAATGATTGGATAATTGGAGACAATTCCATCTATCTTTCAGAAACATTTTTAGTTTTATACTGTTGTTTATAAAAGGAGGCTGGTGAGACAAATCATTGCTTTAAAGCCGTTATTTTTAGAATACCTGTATAATGCATTCAGCATAAAGCTGCCTCTTTCAGTTGTTTCTGTATTGTTAATTTTATAAGGCGTCTGAGGCCAGCATCTGACATTTTTTCAGTTCCCCTCAAAGTAGTGTTGCAGTTGAAAATGCATTTAGAATAACAGCAAGATTAAGAAAGTGTATTCCAGAGTTCTGAACAATGGATAGCTCTATCCATTGTTTGCATTGTATATCCTGGGTGTTTTAATATAATTTTTCAGTTTATGAGAAGAATAATCTTTCCTTTTGTGTGTATGTGAACTGATACCATGTTTCCTTTTTTAAAGACTTCAAAAGACTGTCTTCACTCAGCCAAAAGCAATTAACCAATCCAGATACATAAGTACATAATTAAGAAGAAGATAGAATATCTTCAAGATTTGCCAATAGCCCTTAGAAAAACACTCAGGAAACTCTAGAAAGTGTTTTCCTGTGTTTTTCTTTAGCATCGTCCTTCTCCCCACTCCCTTAGCGGACTGGAGAAGTGCTGGGGGTTAGAGGCCAAGAATGGAATACAGTTTGATGTGGGCAAGACTTCTCTGCCTTTGATTTCCAGTGTCAGCAACAACAAGTGACAGGCATGCTGATGACATGAGTAAGTGGGGGAGAGATAACACAGTAGATGTCCTTTTCAGTTCCTCCATTGCTAATGGATACATCTTAGTCCAGAGTTTAGAAAAATGTAATGTGTGACAACTAGATGAATTGTGCCAGAGAATTAGGCTATTTTTCCCTTGTTTTCTTGATGTGGTTTTACATTGCTTTGGATTTTGGTGGGAGACTAGAGGTTGTTCAGATGCAGTAGAGTAGGGGGCTCAAAGATATGCCCCACAGAGCCACATCATCTGGCCCCAGGTGCTGGCCTCACTGGGACCCCCCACCCTCCATCTGAGCACGCTAGATCCAGTGCCTACAACACTGGCTTGGCTGGTCCAGGACTGTACCATATACAACTTCTGCTCTGAGTGGTCTGGGTTACAAACTGCATGGGGCACCCGCTCCATCTGGTTTGAGATGGGTATGTGTGCAACAAACGTCACAGAGTAGGCACTATGTATGGCACAGCCCTGGACTAGCTAGAGCCAGCACTTAGATGCCTCATGGGGTAGAGGGTGCTATGCATAGGTCTCCTGCATGCCAGATTCAGCACCTGCTCTGGCCAGTCCACAACTGCATTACGTGGGATGCCTGGAGCCTGCTCCAACAGGTCCAGGACCTGCACTGTGCAAGGCACCCACTCCAGTCTAGCTGGAGTAGGATTAGGGCTCAGGGTGGGGAGTGTGAGGCAGGGAGGGCATGGGCTTGATAAGGCCCGTGGACCAGTCCTGGGCCACTCATCTGGCCTGCAGGGACAGATGAGTTTAATACCCCTTCAGTAAAGACAAAGTGTTAAAACAAAGCTGGGACATCTTGTTAAGTCGCTTACTGCTGTGAGCCTTTTGCAAGTTTGTTTAACCTGTTGTCACAGGTTTCGTTGCAAGCTTATGGAACTTACTCCTGAAAAGGTTGGGACTGTCTGAAGAACAGCCTTTGGTCCATAGAAGATTTTCAGTCCCTAAAATTATGAATATGAAGCTTGAATGGTTTTGGCTTCATGTTTGAACAAGCCATTCCAGGTGATCTGAATGCAATGTGAGGAAGCCATAAAAATCTTCTTAATCTGAATTGCCATCCTTTTAATTTGTTTGGGGTGTTTTTTTCTTCCTTTTGGCAGGAGCAGGCTAAGACCTTATTTGTAAGCGCTGCATTGTGAGTCATGCAATATTAACTTTTATTACCAATCTACATATATAGCATCACTTCCAGTGTTTCTTCTGAGCCCTTGTCATCACCCTGATGTTGTTTTAAGACCTGTTAGTCTGAAAAAAATCAGAAAAGTAGTTTCTAGACAAGAAGGTAACTTGCATTTTTCTGTGCATTATATGTTCAAAGCAAGACTGCTGTTAATCTCATAGGATATTTGCCAGGAATTGCTAGAAAATACTAATATGTGTGTCCAGTATATGTGAGGCAGCCAGTGGAAAATTGGCAGTTCTTCATGTAGTAGGATACTGGCTTAATTTCATTGCATGCTAGAATTAAAAGGTAGGTTTGGGGATTGATTTTCTTCTTTTTCCCCCCATTCCATTGTCCAGACACCAAATAACAAAAATGTCATGTGGGGTGAAAGTGGTTTTTGTTTTATTCTGTAACTTTTGATATCAATACAGTAATCTTAATCATCAAACAGAAGGGACAGCTACGATCTGATATTGAGGGGAGGATTCATTGTTTAACTAGAATCTTTTCATTCTACAATAATCTTAGTAGGTTTTGTTAATATTATGTTTTTTGGAAAAAAAACCTCTCTCCAGGAAATAGTGTGTGGTTGGGGGGAATCAGTAGTGAAAATCTGGGTTAGGAACAGCAGAGCAAACAAAGGGAAGAAGTTAAGAGTTTTCTGGAGTAAATAATTGCAGTGTACCTGAAGTGGTTATGGAGTGGGGACCCATTTGACAAATGCTTGCTTCCAGGTATAATGGGTGAATTCAGGGAGACTACAAGCAAGCAGTGTTCCTCATAGTATGCGTTTGCAGAATCAGGCAATAGGACTTCTACCTTTATATATAAGCTGTGTGGCAAATACCACATGCTTATAATGAGAGGAATCTAACAACTGTACTGTGGAGCAGACTTATTTTCCATATGCTACATTATATTATGATGATTCTTCATATAATACAGATTTAATAATTAAAAACGAAGTAGGAAATGGAAGCTTCCTGACTAAATGGTATCAGTAAAACAAGATAGTAGTTTCCCTCTACTTTACTTTCGCCCAGCCTCCCTGACGCAGATGACAGAAATCTGGAAGCTATTGAGACGTTAATGAAAGCAGTAGCAGACCTGATAGTTAAGTGGAATCTTTCTGGCTGAGAGCTAATCTGGTTTGTATGGACTGAAGTGCTTTGTGGTATGGGGTTAGGGTCTTCCAAGTTGTGTTTTCTTTTGATTGCTCTTGGTTTTAGTGGCTGCCAGATATTGCCTGCAAAGAAATTATGCAACTGCCTATTATGTGCACTGACTTAATGATCTGGCAGAGAGGGAAGGTGGTGATTGCTGCCACTGCAAGGGACAATTTGGCAGAGTGTGGGGACAGACAGGATGTGTTTCCTGCTTCCCTGGGGGCAACGATGTGAGAGAGCTGCAGGGAACACTAACAGTGTTATTTTTTATTGGTCAGTTAACAGCATAACAAGTACCCACCCCCACTCATTCAAGTCCAAGGGAACAGAGAGGTCCTCCCCAGGGAGGCAGAAAATTGTCCAGTAGATAATCAGTTTTCTGGAAGGCATTAAGACAGCCATACAGGCCCCCAACTTTGTGGTATAAACCTAAAACCACAGTGTTAGCCATAAAGATGACTACCATTTCCTTCCAATTTTGATGAAATGCAACAGGAACGGAGAGATTGAGGTTAAATATGACGGCTTTGGCTTCTGGTACAAACAACTGAGAGCTATCTGTGTTGCTTTAGCCTGTGTATGGAACAGCTTGTTTTGTTGCTGTTTGGAACTGGCACTTCTTAAGTATCACCTTGTTTTTTGGGATTCTGGATCTCAGTGGAGTCTTTGTTTACCTGTGATTGAATGGAGAGCTCATGGTTTCTGAAGCATTTTACACTTTCCTTTTGTTTGTTATCCTTTTCTTGTGTGTTTGTTCAGGGAGGTGATTTTTCAGATACCTGACTCCTATTTTAAATTATTTCAGCCCTTTTTTTCTGCCTTTGAATATGTCCCACTAATGCATTTAACTGGCTGCTGGCATGGGGAACATGGACTAGTCATTTTATTTTTTTTATAACAGTACAGTGTGCACAGAGCTCAGCAGAAGAATGAGAGAGGCCTATCGGTATTAACACCCCAACAGCTTTGATTTTTGCCAAAAGTGATCACTATGTGGGAGAAGGCAGAGCTACCGAAATCATTTTATGGATACTCCAAATTGAATATAAATGTTAATTTCTAGATATAAAAAGCTGGCAAATTTGAACTAGCTGATCATGTATACCTATGCTGTGGTAGCTACTAGCATGCATTGAGGTGGAGGAAAGTCCCATCAACTTCCAATTTCTCATGAACTGTCTCTGTCATTTGGAATTTTGCTCGGACAATGGCAAGGTAGTGGGGAGGGAGTAGAGTGAGGCCAATATTAGATACGCAGAGGGAGCAGAGAAATGAAGAATTGAGATCTGAGAGGTTGGAACATCTCTATCAAGTTTTGACTATGAGAGAGGCAGTTTTGACCTAGTTTGTGGCCTGAATGGGTAGGTATTGGAGCTTTTGGCAGATAAAACATGGTAGTCTGGAAATACTGGGTGCTGGCAGCTTTAGTAGCAAGACAACAGGAGATAAAGGCATTCTCAGGCTTGCAGCTCTCTGATAGCAAAACACTATTTCACAGCCTGAGACCACCACCAACAATAGATAAGATGTGTGGTGGGGGAC